GGTGGATTAATTAGCTAAATAACTACTATTTATTAACATTACATTTTTAATTGAGCTTTTAAAATGAGAACAGTAACCCAGACATGGTGGTGCACAACTGTAATACCAGCACTTAGGAGGCTGAGGCAGGAAGATCATGAGTTCAAGGCCAGCCTGCGCTACACAGCAACACATTATTTCAAAACACAATCAATCTAGTAAACACTAAAGAATCATTAATAATGTAGTTTTATGAAAGAGCATTAGAAAACATAATTTGATCTTATTGTTTGCTCACACAAGTATCTAAAAATTATAAATAAAGCACAACCCTAACCAATAAAATTAATAGCAGAGTGAAATCTGATGTTTCTGGAATCTTTTAGTTTACAAGTCACTACCCTCTTGTGAAATAAAAATAACCAAATATCTTCTTCTCTTGTGTTTTCCCACTGTGTTTTAAAAATGCAATTAAGATTACTTTTGTTTAGTTCTCCCAATTTTATATATATTATATAAATTTATATATATATCTCACTATATACATATAGCTTTCTCATATATATCATATATATATTCACATATATACCTTGCTATATATATATCTCTCTCTCATATACTGTTATATATATATGTGTGTCATGGTATATACACTGCTATACATATTACTGCCTGTATCTCACTATATATTGGGAAAATATTTGTTTTTTTTTTTCTGATACCAGGAATCAAACTCACGACCTCACACTTGCCAGGCAGGTGCTGTGATGCTGAGCTAAATCCCCAGCCCCAGGAAAGCATTTCTATTATTTCAAATGGACCATGCTAATTTAGTATCATTAGAAATTATAAATTGTGATAAAATATTTTCCAAAGCAAATAAGGAACCACAAAAAAATAGGATAGTTTTTTGGTATGCAGAGCTAAAGGCTCCATAATTGGAGGGAAAAAGGATTCTTATTCACATCAGAACTACAAAAACAAAGGAGTAATTTAAACACCCTTTAACTGCACTTGTTCTCACATATACCACGGACCATTTGAGAAGCTAAGCCTTCGTCAGCTTATGAATTATTTTTTCCTGTTTTGGGTATATCACATTCATCTTACCATAACCCGTCTTTCCCCAAATCTGTCTCCAGCACTATGCTCTCGCTCCTTCCCCTTTCTTACTAAAACTTTTCAAACATTTGCCCACAGCAACGACCCCTCTCCTCCCTTCCTCCCCGGCTTGGAGCGAGGCAGTGCAGCTCTCCCCATCCACTTCTCCCCAGCGGGCTCCGCACTGCTAACCGCAGTGGAAGGTTCACCTCTTTGCCTTGTGTCTGCTCCAGCTAGGCTTCTGCCAGGACACTTTGCTGCTTTCTCTCCTACCCTGTCAGTTCTTGGGCGCCATACTGATTCATGCCACTCTATCTCTATGCCCTGTTCCCATACCCTCCCCCCTGTGTCTCTGTCTCCCAAGGGCCACTGATGCTAAACATGCCAACTTAGACATCACTTTCTCAAAGAAGCCTTCCCTGTCCCCATACTGTGTACGGTTTTGGCCAATTCCAAATCAACAATTCTCCTATTGTCCTATTCTTCGCTTGTAAGTATTTATGTCGATTTGGAAAATAATTGTGTATTTAAGTATTTGATGCTTTCACCAGAATGTCGGGGCTGCGGTCCCTGGTAACCAGCACATAGCTGTCCACACATGGATATTAGAAAAAATCATTTCAATAATTTGATTCAGAAGTTAAAAACAAACAAATGCAAATTTAGTTGACTGACACTCCAAAAAATAAGAGATATTAGAGATACTGTGTATGTGGTATAATTTATCCTGAATATAAAATAATTGGTGTTTTTGGTTTTTAAGCAAAATAACCCTATAAAAAGCATTCCCAAGATGAAAACAGAAGACTTTTATAGAACCTCTGATCCGCTCAAATTCAAATAAAGTAAGACTGTACTGAAGACAAGCATGAACATATAGGAGTAAACATTTCTTTTTTTGTTTTCCAGTGCTGGGGGCAGAAGCCAGGACACTGCACATGCTAAGCAAGGGCTCTACACGAAGCTATACCCCCATACTTCTTAAACCTGAGTTAACATTTTAAAAATAATTCCAGTGCCTCAGTTTGTTCTTAAAATAATAAATGTAACATTAATTACTCCAAAATCTAATTACCTTGTATTGTTAGTACTAAGAAGCTAAATAAAATTTTCTTATAGAAAAATTTATGCCTAGAAACTGTCTTAAAATTATTGTTATTTAGCAGTTAAGAAAAAGGTAGGCTTCTTTCCTTCTCCTTTCCTCCCTTCTTCCCTTCTTCCCTTCCTCCCTTCCTTCCTATGCATTCTTTCATTTAAAAGTAGTGGAAATTCATTTAGAATTACTGGGAATGGAACCCAGGGCCTTGTACATGCTAGGCAAATGCTCTATCACTAAGCTATATTTTCAATTCTTTTTAAAAATTTTTATTTTGAGACAGGGTCTTGCTGAGCTGCCCAGGCTGGGCTCAAACTTGAGATCTTCTGCCTCAGATTCCTCTGTTGAAATTACAGATATGCACCACTGCACCAGGCTAAGCGGTAGGTTTTCAAAGACTAAGATAATCTTACAACTGTAAGAAGATAACTTTAATACTTTTGTTTAAAAAAAAAAAAAAAAAAAAACAATACTTAAGAAACCTTAGTTTGTAAACATTATGTGAGTATCAGGATAAAGCAATACAAGACTTAACAAAATAGAAAAATAATATGTTAAAAAGTTTCCACATATAATGTATGTGCTGAATATTCTTAAGCTAAAAAGTGCACAATTTTTTTCCAAATATTTTTAAAAGCACCTTATAATTTTGTTCGACATTAGCTACCTGTATAAAGTACTTTAAAAAATACTCCTGTCAGGGGCTGGGGATTTCGCTCAGCGGCAAAGAGCCTGCCCAGCAAGCGCAAGGTCGTGAGTTCGGTTCCCGGTACCAGAGAAAAAAACAAAAAAAAAATAAAATAAAATAGAAATACTCCTGTCAGTTACATACAAATATTTCACTAAGCAGAAAGTTTGGCAAAATATCTGGTGCCCAGACAACCTAAGAAGAAATGACTGCTTGTGCCTAAATCTTTGGCAAAAAAAAATTTTTAAAGTTGAAGAAGCTTTATAAGGAAAAACATTTTGGCCTATCTTATACCACTATGGATGTAGTAATACAGTATAAAGGCAATCTAACTTCTATTTTTAAAAATTTTAATACTACTACTACTAATAATATAATTCACTTCTAGAAATATATCACAACTTTTCCTTGGAGGGCACAGGATATGATTAAGAATAAGATTTTATAGATTTAGTCCTGCTATTAATCAATTATTTATGTATAACTAAAACTCTTAGTTTAAATTCCTGTTTAAAAATAAACAACAACAAAAAACCCCCCAAGTAACTCAAGATACTAAATACTAAATACCCAGGATGGATGTAATAGATAAAAACTAAATGACCATAAGCGCATGACCATAGCAGAGGAGACCAATTAGCAAACCACTAATTATAATTTGGCATACAATTCTATTCTCAAAGCTACTTTTAAAAAACTCTTTGCTTAATTCCACAATTAGCTATTTGGTATAGGCAAAGCGCTCCAAGCCCGAGGACAGGATACAGAAAATATGGAACTTTCACTTCAGACTTGGAAGGAGGTAGGTACCAGTGCAAGGTCAAAGAAAGGAATTCCAACGTTTAAGTATCGTGAGAAACACTGGCTTCTAGCACCAACAAGGATTCAAGGGCAAAAAGAAAGGCCATTCCTTTCCTATGACAAAAAGGTCTTTAATTGCTTTTATCCACCCTGTGCTCCCCCAAAAATCTCCCCATAATTGTACAGTATTATGTGTAATAATAATAATACATAATAATAAGTATATAATAAGCATAATTATTCTACAAAAATATGTTTAAAGGCCAGGCATGGAGGCACATGCCTGTAATCCCAGCATTTGGGAGGCTGAGGCAGGAGTATTACAAGTTTGAGGCCAGCTTGAACTATATAGTGAACTATATAGTGAGACCCTGTCTTCAAAAAAAAATGATGAAAGGCATTTTATGGCAAAACTACTAACTTCCTCAAAAAATCTGAAACTTATTCTATTGCCTCTAGTGAAATAGACTGTCTTTAAATAAAATCCAGTCAATAATTAACTTGTGAGTGATTTTGAAATGTCAGATTCAGAAAAGATATTTGGGTGATTTTAGATTTTCCTTTTTTAAACATTTATTTGCATAATTACAGAAGAATCAAATTGTGAAATCTACTCTTACTCAAAATATGGACTTCCTAATAGTTTCAAATCATAGAATATTTTTCCTGAGAGCATACTTACATCCCAGCCATAGTATTAGCAAATAAGTCAAGAATTAAACTAAAGTGAAATAACATAAACTTTCTTTTACTAATTGAACCCTACATGGAATCTCATCTTTGAATCTGCAGTAAACTGTCGATGTATTTTATCACACAACTGCGCTGGCGTAACAGTACTGAGGATTCAAAAGGAAGAAGAGGACGACAATGCCGAACGAGAGTAATAACTTTAAAAATTGGGGCTGGGGATTTAGCTCAGCGGCAAAGTGCCTGCCTGGCAAGCGCAAGGTCGTGAGTTCGGTTCCCGGTACCGGAGAAAAACCAAAAAAAATAAAAATAAAAATAAAAATAAAAATTAACAAAAAACATGAAGTTAAGATTCACTTTCTGTCCACAATATTACAACAGAAATAATATATTTTAAAATGAGATAGACAATGTAAACTCCTGATAAGCAAAGCTCTTTATTCGGTTTTGAAAGTCTTGATGCATACAGTCTATTATATTAATCTTTCATAATTTCTCTAGCTAAAATTGCTCTATAGCTGATGTCAAGTGATTAAAATTATCTAGACTCAAGGGCCTACAGAATGCCATAAGTAACCATATTTTTATATAAAAGATGATCAAAGTTTTTTAAAAGTTGACTGAGCTTTGTAAGTGCAACCCGAAGTTATGGGGGGGACCACAGGCCATAAACATGTAGTTATATAATCAACAGAAACACTCCAGGGCTTGCCAACTGGTGTTCGCAAAACTAGGTTTTAAAACCCACTGAAAATGGCTGTGACACTAACTGCTCGCATTCAGCCGTGGGTATTTTCTTACCACCCACCAACAGGCCAGGAGGGACGCAAGAAACGGGGTGAAGGCCGAGAGGGAGGCTGGGCGCGCAAACCGAGGAGGAGCACACCACATAAACAGCGCAGATTAAACTCTTTCTAACTTTATCTCTGGTAATAAAAGAGGCCCCCTAAACACAGGTTAAGTGTCTATGTACAAAGAAGCATAAAGAAATCCGTTAGCGTGGGAGGGACTACAGGGCATCCATCAGCATTTGTTTGAAAAGACCTGCCAAGCTCTCAGGAGCTACACTTAAATAATGTGACCCGTTCCCCACGGGACAATACGGAGACAGATTAGGCCCTTCACGGAGTGATTCATCCGAGGAAGCTGGCGAGAGGGGCTTCGCGCCGCCTTTGCTTAAGCGCCTGGGCAGCTCCTCCTGCGCTGTAACTGGCCAGTCTCGGACAAGCGGCTGAAGAGGCCGCAGACACAGCGGCAGCACAGCGGGTCCAAGGTGACTCCCCACAAAGCGCCTCTGCTCCCTCCGGGTCTGCTCAGAGAGCAAATCCCAGGGTGGAGGTGCGGGCGTCCTTTACAGGACTCACCACCTGACCGTGATCTAGAGGAGCTCTTAAACACAGTGCGGCGAAAATCAGTGAAATGCAGATCTAAAAGAAAAGCAATTGTAGAGACAGCACCATGTGCAAGTGAGAAAGGCGAAGTACGCATTCCACGCGGCACTCTTCTTAGCGCGTGCACACGCTCTCCGTGACGCGGGCTGGAGTAAAATCGCAGGGGCCCCTCGGGCCCCCGAGAGCACGGCGTCACCCACGAAACCGCGGGGGCTGTCGCTATGCAAACCGCCGCCTCGCTCAGGGTCCCAGATGCCCGCGATGAACCCACCTCGGTCAGGTAGCTGCCTCCTGCAAACGCCTCCTTCCACGCTTCCTAGTCCACCACCCTCCCGCACCGCACGAGCCAGGGAAAACGCCGCAAACGGGGCACAAGCCCACCGGCCGCATGCTCAGGGGAAGGGGGCGCATCCGCCAGGTACCCGCCCTGCGGGGCTCCGCGGCGTCCACCTCCCGCGAGCCGCGGCTCTGCGCTTCCCGCTCCGCCCCGCAGAGGGAGTCGGGGGACGGGCCTGCTCCGGCCGGCGCCGCCTCTGCCGAGCTCAGACGGGAAGTGAAGCCCAGGAGGCAGCAAGCGCTGCCGTCCCTAAAGTGCTGCAGAATGCTAATCTGGTCACTGGACGTGAAATGCTTTGCACGCACGCAACACAACGGGAAACGCGTCCCGGTAACTTCACCCACTGACAGGCGAAGTTTAAGCCCACTCCTCTCTCCCAGACCCGTCTGCGTCCCCAGAGCCTAGAAGTCAGGGCGGCAAAATGTCCTCTCCTGAGTGAATTTCTATTCAAGTTGCTTCCCTCCAGCTCCTCGCTGTTGCCTGGAAACAGGAAACCCTTCCCACCTACATGGCTCCTGACTGCTCCCCCATGGCTCCTTCTGACAGCAGCGAACGTACCTGGCCGAGCTTCAGGCGCTGTTTACCTTAAGGAGGGGTTGCTCCGATACGCAGCAAGGCAGAAACGTTGCCACTGAACTGTTTGGGGAGAACCACGACTCACCAAATTAGCACTGCAGACCTGAGTTTCTCGGGCAAGACAACCAACGCCACACATTCCACAAGCATTTAAACAGGCGAATCTTAGACACAAAATCACGAAAGCATGTGTCAGACAGAGCAGAAGTTACTCTCCAAGAGGATTTGTTTGTTTTGAACCCCACTCTTTATCTCACTGGTACTTTAAACATCCCACTTTCCTGGGATAAGAGTAAACACTAACAGCCCCCTGCTTAAACCATCCCAGTCATCCCGGCGCCCCTTACTTCCACACCCACATCCTATCAGCCTAAACTGAGTCTAGCTTTCTACTGTTCACTCAGCTGTTCTTTCTTTTCTGTTTGCCTCCACTGAAATTGCCTCTCTTTTCCCTTTGCCTCCACTGAAATTCAGGCATTAATTTTCACTTAGGATTATTATAGCATCAAGACCTACTAATTTTATTGACAATTACTTAAAGAATACTATGGGCCATGACGTAGAGGAGTCATCTATACATCTTATCTTGCTGTTCCTTATACCTCCTCTCAAGGAGCCACACACTGTTATCCTGCTTCACAAGCGAGGGAACTGAGATTTAGAGAGTTTAAGTAACTTTCCCGAAGTCAAACACCTTGAATGTATGACCACATTCCTCCTCTAGGAAGACAGCAGCAGAACATTCCAATCCTTCCTTCTATTCCCACATTTTTCCCCTTGTTAATGGTATTTTCACAAATAAGGTATGTGTTTACCTCTAACTAGGCGAATCCTACTTTGCTCCACACTCAGGAGAACAGTACGATATACTGGTCCATCCCTTCTTCAGAGGGGATGGGTTAGAGCCACATCAGCGTTTTAATTAATGAGGTTTACGCTAACAGGTTTTAAGTGCCTTTCAGAGATGCAGTAAAATAGACGCTAGAGATATACAACTAGATACAGACATACAGATTAGATCTTCTTATCATTTAATGTTTATATAGACTTCTGGGAGTGGTCAGTTCCTTATAGCCAAAGATAAGCATCCCTAAGACTAAACAAAAAATCACGAGAAAAATAACTAGTAGATTGATCAATCACTCCTTAGAATGGTGACTTGTACTTTAACAATGTGGAAAGTACATTTGTATCAAATTCATTCAGCTTACAAATTACTCCAGTTAATGTTCCCTTGTTCATAATTCTACAACTCTTTTATAAATAAAGTTTTATTTTGACATACATAAACTACACAAGCAAGATTAATTTTACCTTAGATCATATAAAGACCGCTAAGGCAAAACTGAAAATTAGAAATTGTCCCAAAGTCAGAGAATGAGTTCAAAAAATTGAGAGTATCATCGGTTAAGTATCTTCTAATAGCAGGGCATGGTGAAGCACACCTGTAATCCTAGCACTTGGGAGGCTGAGGCAGGAAGATCCTTGGGAGTTTAAGACCAGCCTGGGCTACAAAGTGAGCCCAAGGCCAGCCTCAACGGCATAGCGAGACCCTGTCTCAAAAAGACCAAAAAAAAAAAAAAAAAGTGTCTTCTGAGAGCATATTCTCCGGTCTAAAAATAAAAACATCAGACATCCACTCAACAAAATATAGTGTTTAGTTCTTATTCTTAAATATACTGAAGAAAACACATATGTTCATGGAAACAAAATCATAAAACAGTCATTTAATTCTAACCAAATTGTTCAGGCAGAACTGGGTTCCAGTTATAAGGTTAAAGGTCACTAACCCCCTCAGCTGCACTGCCGGTGCCTGCGCCTCAGTTTCCCCACTCTAGGAAGGTAATAATGGCAACCCTGGCTGCCTGCAGGTTGTTGTGAAAACCAAACGAGAATGTGGACAGGAAAGTGTCATATAGAACACTGGGTGTCTTTCTGTTTTTATTCTTTTGCTGAACTTTGTTTTCCTTGGTTAGCATCACATTTAAATTGCTAACATACATTGAAGACTTAGAGCCAGCACTCCCATCACTTCTGGCATAAAACTTGCTATTTAATGCTTAGTACAACTTTTAAAATACTATATTGCTCAAAGGCTATATAACTTCCAACTACTTAAGCTAGATAGCATCACCCAGTGACCAGTGTTATGCTAACAGATATTATTGAAGAAACAATTTAAACAGACTGGGTCTCACTGTGATGCCCAGACCAGCTCCAAAGTCCTCGGTTTAAGCGATCCTCTTGCCTCAGCCTCCCAAGTACCTGAGACTATAGTAACTTATCACTGCCTCAGGCAAAGATATGACATCTGTGATATTTATCTATGCACCATCTATGTCTAAGATACGTCTATGATAGTTAACTGATATACCTATATTTATTTTTATAATATATATCTATATTTATGCTATACTTATGTATCATATCTAAGATGTATCTATATGTCTATATCTGTATTTGTCTGTGATACACCTATATTTACCTCTGATCTATCTATGATATACATAGCTGATATCTGTGTCTGACATATGTCTATGATATATCTATTTGTACAATATAGGTGATATAGGATATCATATATACATATATTTACTCATATTTTATATATAAGTGGTGTGTGAGAGCGGCACTGGGGATTGAATCCAGAGCCTTCACACTGAGCTACATCCCCAGCCCTTTCTATTTTTATTTTGAGACAGGGTCTTGCTAAGTCACTGCTGTAGTACAGGGTTTGCAAGGGGAACAATATAACACAGGACATATATTTTATAAGATTATTTATAATAGTCACCTGAAGAATCATATACCAAAAGAGAGTGCAGGAAATCTGTGCACACATTAAAGATCAAAGACTCCAGCTGAGGGCCTGGATCAACGTCCTGCATGAGTCCAGCTGAAGAGCTAGAGCCCACGACATTATCTCATGCAGGCCTGTTTTGCGGATCTGCGCTGGGAAGGCCCAACAGTCAAGGGTGGAATCTAGGAAGTCTGTGCCAGTGGGATGAAGGATCTGTGCTAGCAGGCTGAGGGATCTGCACTGGAGCCAGGAAGTGACGCTCAAAGAGCCAGAGCTCCCCTGAAAACTACCACAGCCACCCTCAGCAACAGTGAGTTCCCGAGCTCCTTCGATGAGGAAGAAAACTGAGTTCCCAACAGGAAAGCCAACATTTGACAAGCTTGTTCGGGAGACTGAGCAGTGCACCATCTTCCCTCTAGAGCCAGGAAGTGATACTCAAAGTGAGGACCAGCACTCCCCCAAAGTGAACCGTAGCCATTCTCAGCGACAGCGAGGTCCCGAGCTCCTCCTCCAACAAGAGCAGCCAAGTTGTTCAGGAAAGCCAGCATGACAAGGTCCTCCAGCAGAATAGCCCAAGAGAACCAGCGCTCCCTAACAGCTTCCCAACAGCTTCTACCAGCTCCCAACAGCCTCAAAACTGCTTCCTCTCCAGTTGTGCCTTTTATGCTGCCGGCAATAGTCCTCAGGTGGGCCTCCACACCCGGCAAGCACCACTGGGTGTGACAAGCTGACCACCAGTTGTCAGTCCACCACCGTGACTCAGGCTGGACTTGAACTTCTGATTCTCCTGCCTCAGTCTCCCACAGTGCTGGGATTTCAGGCATGTCCCACCATGCCAAGATATAATTTTTATTTAACAGATTTTTCTCCTGGGAAAGGATAATTATCTAAATCCTAAAAACTAAAAGAAACAGCTTGATGACAGGGCATTTTAATACAAATGATTATAGCTAACATTACTCTATACTTTAATTAGTTAAGAGTAAATACTTCCTAACCTTATCAAATGGACAACAGTTTTGCCAGATACTGAGATATTTATGAGCTGGGAGACATTTTTCTTTCCTAATGAAAACCTATGTCACCGAGTGTAAAATACGGTCCAACACCATCTTATTCTCCAGAAAAGTGGTGCAATCAAGCAAACCTTAATGAAAGTTCCATCAATTATAGCAACCGAATGAAAGAGTGTCCAATAAACCTTAAACTGGTATTTTCAGCACTTTCTAAATTCAGTATCGGCTCAAAATTTGTTATACAACTGAACAGTCCATACCTTACAGAAGTGGTGGGAGAAGGGAAGGGGACGGGGAAGAACAAGGGAGGACTATGTTATCTTTAATGGTAACAACGCAATCAAAAAATAAAGAAAGTTCTCTATCAAGAAACTTCAAGCCGCCCGGTGGGGTGGCACATGCCTGTAATCCCAGCACGCAGGAGGCTGAGCCAGGAGGATCGCTGTGATTTTGAGCCCAACCTGTGCTACAAAGCGACTTCAAAACCAGCCTGAACTGCATAGTGAGAGACCCTGTCTCACAAAGACTCAAAAAAAAAAAAAATTTCAAGCCCATTAAAACACAATGTTTTTAGAATGAGCTCTCCTAGTAAAGGCCTTGGGTATGCCACTGGAGTCTGTAAGGGCAGAAACAGTTTTTGTTTACTCGCCGGTTTCTTTGTGTCTTGTGTGATTCCTTCATGCTACTACACCTTCCATTTTATTCTGCTTTAAAGGCTGAAGCAATGCTAACCCGCACTGCTCAGACACTTGAGTGTCAAACCTAAGTGGACGTTGGACAACAGGAACTGCTGCACCACCTCACTAACCCAGAAGTGTACGCTTCAGCTGGCCTACAGTGCCCTCTACAGCCCTCATGTCTCCTGAGAAATAAACCTGTTTAGGAAATGTGGAAGGACAACACAGAACAAAGGGCAAAACGATATTCTTCAGCTCTGCTTCATATTCAAATCACGCTAATAATGGTGATTTAAAAGCTGGATTTAGATACTGCTGGACAATTTTTCAAT